TTTAATCTGGTCCGTCCGTTTTTGATTGAATCTGGGCCGTCCGTGCGATTGCATCTGGGTCGTCCGATCGCACGCTTGATCTGGGCCGTCCGATCGCGCTTACGCGGATCGCCAACGTGGCCCGTTCCGGAACGACGTGGTCTTGCCACGTGGCAGGTCCTGGTTGGCCGGGACTGCTGACCGGGCCTGCTGACGTGGCTGCCGACGTGGTTTTTTTTTTTTTCGGCCCCTTTCCGGGCGCTACAAATATAATATGTTTGATTATTATAATAATTGAGATTATTATAAAATTTAATTTGAAATTAAATTGGTTTATAAAATTATTTTATTAAATAATAATAATTAGAAAGGATAAACATATATATATATATATATATATGAGATATATATGTAAATATTTAGGTGTTAAAAAAAATAAAATAAAAAGGAAAGTGGATGAGTCCAAATAAATTTGGATGTCCACAGGAAGAGTCCAAAAGGAACTCCTCCGGCCATGCCACCTATATATATATATGATATATATACATGTGTGTGGGGTTTTGAAAAGAGTGAGATGGGAATAGAAAATCAGCCGCACACCAAAAAAGAAAGATGGTGAATTCTTTGTAAAGATTTTGTTAAAAAATTTTAATCTATTTATATTGTTCAATTTGTCCGTACGTTCCATTAATCAAAGAGGTGAACTGCAAAGGTTAGTTTCAGTGTGGATACAAATAGATTGTTCATATTTTTGATTAATTTTAATTTGAGAATCTGCTGTCATGTATATTTTAGATTTGATCTTTGACCTGCAATATAATTTTTAAGTACAAATAGATCAGATTGGATTGTGGTTTTTATATTCCACTGTGTGTTATGTACATATTATAATCCTTCACTGAGTCCCTTTCTCTCTAGCATAGTCGTTTAGAGCATCCCTCTAATACAATCTTACGTCATTTATCATTGTCTGAATCTATGCCCATTTCTTTTAGTCAATTCAATAACTTTTATTATAATAATTGCCTCTGCACTGAAAGTCACAAATTACCTTTTGATGATGCCTCACTAATATCTAATTCTCCTATTGATTTAATATTTTTATATGTATGAACCTCATTGGTTTTATCATTTGATGGCTATAAATATTATGTACTTTTTGTTGATCACTACTCCCGATATATCAGGTTCTATCATCTCAAACATAAATCCGACATCCTTAGTGTTTAAATGGTTCAAATCACCAGTTGAAAAATGCTTTAATCGTCCTATATTCGAACTTTATACTAACAATAATGGTGAATACATGGCCCTCAAAAACTTCGTTATGACTCACGGTATTTCCCATTTGATAACTCCATCTCAAACACTAGAACAAAATGGTTTTTTTGAACATAGACATGGTCTCATTATTGAAATAGGTCTAACGTTACTCCACCAAACGTCTCTTCCTCCCTCCTTTTGGCCCTTTGCCTTCGCTACCGCCATATACCTCATAATCGTATGCCTAAACGAAACCCATCTATGAAATCATCCTTTGAATGTCTCTTTCAAACCACTCTTAATTTCTCTAAACTTCACATGTTCGATTGCCTTTGTTATCCCTGGCTGCATCCTTACTCATCTCACAAGCTGGAGTCTCGCTCCTGTCCTTGTGTCTTTCTTGGATACTTCCCCACTCAAAGTGTTTTCTTATGTTATGACTGCTCATTTTAAAAAAAATATATCTCTCGTCATGAAGTGTTTGTTAAATCTGAGTTTCTTTTTTAATTACTCTTTGACTAGTGGGGGTGTCGACTTCTGCAAAGGATCGTCAAACCTGTCACCATATGATGCAACCATGAGACGTACTGTGTTGGGTCGTCTTTTACCAATTCCTTCGCCCCTACCTATTACTACCATCCCCACACCTGTTATCCCGCTAAGTCCCACACTGAGAGACCTACCTCACTCTCCATCATCCATCCCGCACATCACTTCAAGGTTGTTAGTTCCTCCTCTCCTGCAGACCAACACAATGTTTCTCCCAATGTCTCACTTGTTCCACCTCTATTCATCCTATGGTAACCCGATTCAAGAACAACATCCACAAACCCAATCATAAAAGTATAGCCTTCACATTGTCACTGCCCTGGATACACATGAACTTTCATCCCACACTCAAGCTCTCAAGGACCTTCGGTGGTATGCTGCTATGTCCGAGGAGTTCAATGTTCTTCTCAATAATCATACCAGGGATTTGTACCTCCTGATATCTCAAAATATAGTTGGCTCAAAATGGGTTTTCCGTATTAAAGGAAAACCTAATGGCACAATTGATCGTTACAAAGCAAAACCTTAACATTAAGGGGCTTTCATCAATGACCAGGGCTTGATTATCATGCCATTTTTGGCCCCGTGGCTAAACTTAACACAAATTTGCAATCTTCTATCCTTAGCAGTTTCAAGAGGTTGGTGTCTCCGTTAGGTGGATGTCAACAATGCTTTTCTTTAAGGACACTGGATGAAGATGTATTTATGTCTCAATTGCCGAGTTTCCTTAAATCATAATCTCGCAACCTGTGTGTGTAAGCTCAACAAAGCAATCTACAGTCTTAAACAGGTTCTTTGGGCCTAGTATAGCGAATTGCGACGATTCCTCCTTCATGATGGTTTTACAAACTCCAAATTTGATGCCTTAATCTTTATTTATCGCAATGAGAAGCTGTTATTTTCTTCTAGTGTATGTTGATGATCTTATTCTTATAGGCAGTGATGATCTCCTTGCTCAAAGCTTCGTTGATCAATTGGGATTTTGGTTTTCCATTAAGGATCTTGGTCCTTTATCTTATTTCCTTGGTATTGAAGTTACTCTTTATTCAAGAGGCCTCCACCTAACTTAGTAAAAGTACCTCCTGGACATCCTCACCAAGAACAACATGACAGACTCCATACCTGTTCAAACACTGCTAGCCACTTCCTCCCCACTGCAGCTTCCTGATGGCTCTCCACCTGTAGATGCAACGCTTTACCGTCAAACAATTGGCAGCTTACACAATTTTCTCATAAGTTGTCCAAACATTACCTTTGCGGTTAACAAACTCTCTCAGTTCATACATACTCCAACAATACATCACTCGGGTGCTGTTAAACGTCTCCTTAAGTACTTTAACAACACCCGATCCTATAGTATTCAACTGTAACAACACAGTTCATTGTCACATCATGCCTTTCGTGATGCAGATTGGGCGTCGCGACCACGTGACCGCATCTCTAC